ATCAGTGCAGAATCACCTTGCCAATAGGTGCCACTGTTGCTCTGCACACACGTCTGAATCGTCAATGTCCTTCAGTTGAAAATCCAACCTTGAAAAAGCAAACCTAAATCACAGTGACTAAAATGTTGCAGAGGTAAAACTCTGTACAGACCACGGCCAGAGGCTTGTCCATGCCAAGACTAAGGTATATGCTTTATCTTGTTCCTAAAAATAATTATATTATTGCTAATCTTGAGCAAAATTGATGAAGAGGTAAGTATGCATTGAATTAATTCCAGATATATTTACTCTAAGCCTTTAATGTGCTGCAAGTTTATTGTTGAGCCTCAGACCAATAGCAGCTGAACCTTGCAGATATCTCCTCTGGACCAAACGTGATTTAAATGCAGAAGTTGCACATCAGTGCAGTAAGAATTTGGCCTTCTGTCAGCACTCTTTACGTAGGTCGTTCACATACTTTCACTGAGTAAACCATCAGGGTGGCCTATCCTGCAGCATAAAGGCCACCTACAGCTATTTCTTCTAGGTTTACTCTTTGGTAATGTAAGGTCAGCTAATGTAGTTCACTTTGCAGCTTATCTACTGTTAAGTGCCATTCAGTATGTAAAGCCAAGGGCGATCAAGGTCTGCTTGCTTAATGCATTGGGAGAAATCGTGGTTCACCTTGTCCTTAGGTATGCAGCCATTTCGTATGTTTATTTTATTCTTGGATGTTTCAGACATATTATGGAATAACCCAAGTTTCTTTTCTCCTCTTTCTTCAAAGAAATGTATAGTGAGCTGTGTAAAAATGAAAAAACAACTAAGGACAAAGCAATTAAGAGATTTATATCCTTTCAGGTTCAGTCCCACTCTGTTGTGTTTTTTTTTCTTACTGCAACTGTTCACTGAATAGAAACCAACAGATGAAAATTTTGTTTTCAGTGATTTAATATATCTTCTGAAATATTCCCAGCTATCTGCAGGTCAGAACGTAACCCAGCAACTTGTTCTAACTAGTAAACAGCCCTCTGCCTATATAACCTAATTCTCATTCCTTGCGCGTGGAACAGATCACTCTTGCATATATGAGCAACAAGCTATATTAAGTAGTACTTAAGATCACCCTAAGCAGTTTACACAGAGGCATCCCTTGCTTTTCTGTCTCACACCAGTTGGCCAATGGCTTGCAGATATTTCTGACACCCTTCATAGGCCAGGATTCTACTGTCGTTTTCGGGAAGATGTCCCTGGCTGGAAGGGAGGTAATGAGTTTTAGCAGGTTGTCTCAGTTGACAAGTAGCAAAAGCAGAAATCGGTGGGCTTTCATAGGAAATGGCGTAGACACTGTTCATCACTCCAGCTTCTTTCTTGTGCCATTTTTTCATCAGGTGCTCAAGAAGACCATAGTTTGTGGGTGGCTCTGAGACAGGAAATGATTAAATGTTAAAAATGATAGAATTAAATTTTTGGTCCTGGTGGTTTTACTCCACAGTTGTCGTAGAGAATATTTGTACTATTTTGACAGCAGATTAAGGACAAAACAGATCTTTTTGTTCCCAGGGGATGTATGTCTACCCTCTGGCTGGAAGGGAAAATCACTGTCCTATATCAATAGGACAGCAGTAATGGTGTAAATGTAAGGAGTCCTAATTCTTCATAGTCTCTCTGGTAGATATTAAAAAAGTTAGCAGAGCGGTACATGTCACTTAAATTCGGAAACATAATAATACTCCGTGAATTCTCCTGCTAGTTGTATCTCACAGCTCTCCTTGTTTTTAGCTGGTGTCTTGCATTATTGCATTGGGGCGAGAAATCTGTTCATTGACACTATCCTTCGCTGCTTCCTGTGGTGATTAAGTATTGTTGTATGGATAACATTTCCACTTTATCAATCAGAAAAATAAGCTACTGACTTGGTAAGAAACTAGCCAAAAATCACCACAAGATCCATTTTCAGAATTAAACCAGAAGGATGTTCCTGGCTCTAAGTCTACATATTGACCACTGCACCATGTTCCATCTGTTTGAATTAATAATGCCAAAAACTACCAAGAATGGGGAAATCTGTTTTCTGAGGAATCCAGGCAAACTTGCGTCCATTCCAGCTGCGGAGGGGAGGCAGCACAGGGTTGTAACCGTGTCTATTGTATTTATCGTCATACTCCGATACTAAATTTCGGCTTCTTGGTTCCTCATGATGGGTGAATAAATGCTGCATTGGCAGGCCCTGAAATGAGATGTACATGAAACCATGCCATTTGTCTTTGTACATAGTATTCAGATGGCTTAGTGTGCTTTTGAGTCAGACTGTAATACCAGCGATATCACAAAGTTTTGTCAGTACTTATATTACTTAGAATTTAATCCCTGAAAATAAGGGCATTTGCATTTCAAGTAAAGTAAATTTCCAGTTAAATTAAGCAACTACATCTGTATGTCATGAGATCTGATTAGTCTGATTGCAACACATGCATCACAGATTTGCAGATACATTTAAGAAGCTTGCAAATGAAAAGCTGATTGTCTTGTGCTGCTTAAGTGTTTCATTGTGCACTAGCATTACACATACTGCCTTCCAACTGTCTGTCAGGAGAGAATGATAAGAATATCTTAGGGTGGAGAGGCACCTTGGAGGAAGGGACATTCTAGCAGATAATACTTGTGGGAAAAGTATTGTGAAAGATCTGGGACTCATTTAAGTGCAGTTTGTTCCTATGTATCGGAGGCGTGCTGATGGAAATAATCCTCTTTTACCAGCAAGCTCATATTATAGCCCACGGAATGTCCTGAAGACACAAATACCCCATCCTAGCTGATAGTAACATGCTGATTTTCTTCATGTGCCCCGGTCACCCTCTGAGGCAGAGACTGGGAAACGACCAGAGTACCAAGAAGTATGTGCCGTTTGTCTACCTCTGAAAGGCATCCTACTTTAATCAAACATACAAGGGAGATCTGGATCCTGTAAACTGGCCACGGAGCTGCAGTGCCTTCTTTTAGGCATATAGTTGTTTAAGGATATAAAATATGACTTAAGTGTTAGTTAAAGATCATTGCTGTTTCAAATGTTGGCGCACGCAGCCCTACATTTGAAATTTCTTACCTCAAATTTTTCCATCATGGTTCTTCTTAGTGTTTGGTCTGGTTTGTGATCCGGGAAGCAAATGAAGTCTGTTCTGTATATGCTGCTGCCGAGTTTCCCAATGTCTTTTATAAACTAGAGAGATACACAACACTCAGTATAGCTAAGGCAATCTGATAATTACAGAAGCTCTGTTCCAGTACTGCTTTCTTCATCTATGCATTTAAAAAGCACTTATTTCGAAAGAAGTCTGTGCTATGTACTTTTTCTCAGATGGTAAAGTCAGCTGGTATAATCACCATTGTAAAATTCTGGCTTGATTCCTTGGTGTAAATATAAGATACTGTACAGCCCTTGAAACATTATTCATGGTGTGGTGTTAAATATTTTCACCTGCCATGTGAACTATCATCTGAAAAGGGCAAATGAACCCTTTTTTTGTTTTTTGTCCCTTTGTTCCTACTTCTGCCACAGCAGGCCAGTCTCTGCAATATAGGCAAGTATTTTGCTCCAGAAAAAAAAAAAAGTCTAAAGGAAGTAATTTTAGCAGAGTCAGGAGGATTTGCCCTAACAGCTCCAATATTGAACCTAAGTGGCATGTTTTTACGAAGTTAAATGTCTAATGATAAAATTTTGCTCAGCTCTTAAGCAGGGCATGCAATCTATCACTGCTGTTGTTTATACAAGCAAATGAAACCGATATCCAAATTATTGGAGATCCTCTGATGCAAGTAATAAGAAGTATTAACTTACGGAAGGGTTAATGAAGCCTCTCTTGTATAATGTTGGTGTATATTATTAAGTTGTATATATTGCTGTTGTATAGTTGTATATAAGTTGTATAGCAGTCTGAAGGGATTGCCATGAAAAGTGCTACAGGATTTTTAATTGGCTAATGTTATGTCTGGTGTGAACCACACAGTATAACCCATGCTCAGGCATTGCTTCTGTCCTGGCTTAGAGAGAAGAATGGCAGATCATAAACAAAATTAATTAATGCAGGCCAGGCAAGACGCTTATCTTTCTCCCTTTTATTACTCTTCTGAGATGAGCCTGGACTCTAGCTTACGACTGCAGTAGTATACTACCTCCACAGCATTGGTTCTGACCCCCTCTATTCCTGCTCTCACACTTCCTTCCTGATCTTACCCTTTTCCTCTCATCCAGCCAGTTTCCAATGAGAACTTTAGTAGAGTATTTCGGTTCAATTTTCCACCAATCCTGTCCATCTTTTTGCGATGCAATCATATTTCTTTGTCTCACCAGCGCTACCCTCCCCAGTTGTTGGAACTGTCCTTCAAGTTCTGTGGGTGAAAGATTACTCAGCAGTCCAGTGCTAAAACTAGGGCAGAAAGGGCCTCCACTTCTACCTGCCTGTGTGCTGAGAAACGTGGGTGATGTGTGGAACTGCTTGGCCGTAGAACCATTTGTGTTTGCTATCCCCACGGTGACTGTCGTTCCAGTAACCACATTCTAGGCTGCATTATATTTACTGTTGAGCAAAACAGTGGCTCCTAACCCACTAAAGTCAGCTGGGTTTTTTTCTCTAATGAAGTTCAGAGTATGTCTCAAAACATTGTGATATAAGTGACATACTCCTCTATACCAACACACCACACATACCTGCACAACACACAGTCTCTCATCATAGACACATTTTATTTTAAACAAGTGGGACAAACCAGGATGTCCATTCAAAATAACGTTCTTCTTTATTGACAGAGCTAAAGATAAGGGCTTGCAGCATGGTACAAGCTTGTATAAGGTTTGCATATTCCATGTTCCAACTAATAGCTGGAATGAGGTTCTGATGAGCCTTGTTTATCATTGTTAATGGCTGCCCTTGACTGACTACCCATCACCTGATATTAAATATCCTAAAAAGATATTTTCCTAGGTTGAGGCATGAACAGACTCGTGGAATCTAAGATGTTTACTATAAGCTTTTTAGGAAGTTAACTACACTGTCCAATCCCCTTTTTCCAGCTGGAAATGAGAAACCACAATAATCATATAGGCTTATGATTCCATGGAATCCATCCTCAAGGTGGTACCAGGTCACTCGAACACCGTTGTCCTCCAGTCTCTTCTTGTAAAGCAAGCCGTCATCTCTTAGCACATCATACTCACAAGTCAAGATGAAAGACTCGGGCAGCTGGTGAACAATAGCGTCTTCGGCTAACAGCGGACACAGGTTGGGCTCACAAAATCTTTTCACTGTCTCATAAACTTCAGCTATAAAATCAGTGGGCCTAAGTGGCTTCACACCTCTGACCTTAAATTTTTCGGGGATGTTATCTGGACTCACCCACTTCCTGTACTTCAGCCTCATATCTGGAGGAATATGAGAGCCCTCCAAGACCTCTTGCATATGCAATGCATCCCCATTTAGGTACTGCAAAGCAAAGAAAGCGGCACGTTCTCGGAATAAGAGAGGGACTCCTCGATTTTGATGATAGGATGGTAAATTGAAGTCCAGTGCCTGAAGGCCCGGGTAGATCAAGATCTGAGCACGTAGTCTGGGGAGGTCTGATCTACCTGCAAGGGTCTGGCTAACTGCAGCTGCCAGATTGCCCCCAGCACTGTCCCCGCAGACAATTACATTGGCAGGATCCACCCCATAGTGCTCTATATTCTTCATAAAGTGTATGGTGGCGTTAAGACAGTCTTCATACGCAGCAGGGTATTTGTGTTCAGGAGCTAAACGATACCTAGTACACAGGAAGAGACAAGAGAAGGAAATGTCATTAGCATTAATCAGGAAATGGTATCATATGCTGCCTTCCAGCCCTATCATTTTGGGGTGATTTTCCTCCAGGTCAGGATATTCATTACCTCCTAAGCAGGCATTCCTCAGTTAGTGATTGCGGATAAGCTGTAAACTGTGTATTCAATCACAAGGACTCAATAAAGTAGGATTGTCTTCTGATTAAGAGTCTGACCGAGACTTTGTACATTTCTTAGTCATGCTGAAAACTCCCTGTGTATTCTTGACAAGATAATTTAATAATTTTGTGCCTCTGCTTCCTATGTGTAAAATGGGAGTAATACAGTATGATGATTCCCTCTTTTTCTAGAAATCACAATTTTTTGGAGCATCTTATTACATGTTCATATGTTCAGCACAAGGAAGACTTTTTTTACCTAAGTTTTTGATTGGCTTTTATAGATTCTCTTAGTGTGCCAAATATTTCCATTTGGGTCTTTTCTGAGTATATCAGGGCATGAACAGTTAAGAGCTGTGAAATCCCCGTTATCACTATTTGTCTTTTTATGGACTTCACTGAATTCTATAGAAATTTCTCTGCAAAAAAGAACATCTCCAAAACCAGTGCAGCTCTGCTGCGGCACCACAGCAACAATAATCTCCCAACAATAGAACTGGGTAGGGTTCACTTACTGAACAGATACAACTACCGATTCACTTTCTCTGGATATGTAGCGGCATACTTTTTCATAGGTATCTGGAAAAGAAATATTTTCATTAGTGCTTTGCTATTGCCCTAATTTTTGAGACAGCTAGGGAGTGTTCATTCCAGAAAGGCATGCGTTTGTCTTCAGACGTCCTCCCAAATCACATGCTGAAACCTCCTTTTATTCCAGTGTTATAAAAAGATGAGAATGTTCTTTCTACATTAGAATCATAGAATCATTAAGGTGGGAAAAGACCTCTAAGATCATCGAGTCCAACCGTCAACCCAACACCACCACCCACTAAACCATGTCCCTAAGCGCCTCATCTACACGTCTTTTAAATACCTCCAGGGATGGGGACTCAACCACTTCCCTGGGCAGCCTGTTCCAATGTTTAACCACTCTTTCAGTAAAGAAATTTATTATAGTAAATTGCATTACTATAATTCCTCCTGCAGATATCTTACCAAGACTTCCAAATACCCAGCCTCCTCCATGAAAGAAGATGATACCTCTCCTTCGCCCATCAGAGGTAGCTTTAGGCTGATAAACCCTCACAGGTACTTTGTTAAACTGCAGATCCCAGATAAAGAGCTTTGGATCCACCCCTAGTTTCCGTCCTTGTCGCACGTATCGGCCAAAAGTGATTTGACTGCAAAGTCCAGTCTTCTCCAAAATCTTTCCCTGTTAAAGGTAAAAGAAATTAAGGCTTCTTGAAAAGTCTTGAGTTAGCCAAGGTATAAAAACTCTGCATCGTACTTACATTGAACTGCATTTGAGGGAAATTTTAAAGAAACACAGAGCTTGTCCCCCCCCCAAAGTGGTAATGTTGTAAAATATGAATACACTATAAGAAGATATAATAATAACAGCACAAGAAATTAGAATAACTACCGTGAGGACTGTTCATAGGGGAGGATAATGGCTATGCAAGCACTTCCCAAACACTCTCTAAAAGGCTTCCTGTATACTAAGTACTGATAGGAGAGTTCATTCTAATTGGTTGGTTGGTCCTTGGTTTTTGCCTTAATAAACCTGGGGAAAACAGTGAGGAAAAGTAACTCCACAGTTGGTTTTCTTGATAGGAATGTCCAGTCCTAAGAAAGTAAGAGATCCCAGGAGAGAGTCAGCAAACAGTATTTGTTTTAAGTTTGCCTAGATTAGTTTTACCAAAAAGGAGAAGTTCTACCTTTTATCACACCAGCTGGAATCTGAAGAATCAGATTGATAAATCTAGGCTTCACATACAGCAATTTGATCCCTGTTGTCTGATAAAAATAAAGCTCTCTGATACGAGAAAAATAATTTTCCCAAGCTCTCACATCCTACAGACTGTAAAAAATTTACTTCCAGTACTCAAATCCAGTGTCATTCCAATATCACATCAGAAATTTTATGTAGGCCACCCAAATTGGCTGTTGTCCTGCACAGCTTTGTGCTCATTCTTGTTTCATTCATACTTGATAACAACCATGAAATGTCATATATAGAAACAGCAATAAAAGCTTTAATAGTTCTTCATTGTATAAACTAATATTCCTGAATTAGACCATAAAACTCAGTGAATTTGCAAATCTTCAGTGCAGGGTTGTATTGTGGAAGTTAGTTACTGCTTTTTATTTGCACAACAGATTTACTGAGCAAAATCAAGAAGCTTCCTTTCCCAATGCTCTTGCAATGATCTTGCAAGCTAGAATATAAATCTGATGTAATAAGTGAACAAACAAGAAGTTGGGAAGCAAGTTAATTAATGGAATCAAACAAATAAACTGTTACGGTTCAGTTACTAAACAACATCCCAATTTTAAATGCCCAGTGAGAGTCTGTCTTTATCCATTCCCTTGTTGTCACCTGCTAGTGGGATTCAGGAGAGCTGGGTAGCTTTGTCAGTAAATTTTAAGAGGATGTAAATGGTGTAAGAAACAGTGTGGAGGAAAACAAGGTCTGTGCGATAGCAAAGGCGATGTTGTGGCTAAAGGAGCGAAGGAGAAAACTGAAGTTTTAAAAATATTAAAAGATACAGCAAGTGACAGAGGAAGAGTTTAGGAGAGCTCTAATGCTGTTTATGCAATGCTGTAAAGGGAGTCCAGGGATTAAGTAAAGCGGCCCTAACCGGATTTTGTACCATAAATGTCAGCCGTGGCAGGAGCAGTTGAAGGGTTGTAGTTGTCCCTGTGGAAGGTGACTTCGCCTAAAGCTGAGGGCAGTTATCAGCTAAAACACCAGCTCAGCTCTGAATTCGAGACTTAAATCAACACCGCCGTTTGGCAAACTCTGCTAACAAGCCCTAGCATGCTACTTCTGAACGTGAAATGGGTTTTGCCCGTGACATGAGCAGCGTCCCGAGTGCGGGTGCTCCTCCGCAGCGCTCTCCCCATGATGTGGAGCCGCAAGCATCACATGAGGGCGGCAGGGGCACGCGGATCTTAATCCAGGCTCCTTCTGTTTTTTGCTTCCCAGCGCAGTCCGTGGTCCGGGGCTTGCCCGGGCCG